AAGACATACTTTTTAACTGCTAAAGTAACTCTTTGTATCTTTGTGTGAATGTAGGCAAGAATGTATGCTTATATGTATACATATAATATTGGCATATATGTATATGTATTATACTATGTATTCACAGAATACATAACACACACACACCCCATACATATTTTAGTTACTTTTTTATTTGTGGTAGGAATATTGTCCTCAGAGTGTGTGATAAAGGAATTTTCTATGCTTGGTGCCAGCTACAGGTCGTTCTTCTGTTATCTGTTCATTAACATCAAGGTTTCAAATAGGTAGGCTTGAAGCCTAGGTTTGACATTTCATAAGTTTAACTTCAGTTAGAATCTCTGGCATTCTGTATCATTGGTCATGTCTGGGTTGCACACTGTTGATCCTGAAGTCAAAGGAACTCATTGTAAGTGCGATCACAGTCCTCACCCTGGTGCCTTGTGTTTTCCGCAGCTGCCTGCACCGATACCTCCTGCAGCGGCCATGGTGAGTGCATGGAGACCATCAATAACTACACCTGCAAATGCCACCCCGGCTTCAGCGGACTCAAGTGTGAGCAAGGTAAGTCTTGTCACCTTTTCTTGCACTCAAGATGATAACGCCACCTCATGTCTTAGCTGGCTTTGGGGTTGGGTCTATACATCATCTCTACCCTGTTGTTATGGTACAATGTTGTGGTTAAGAGCAGTGACTATGGAGTCAGACCTTTTGGGGTTCAAATCCTAGGTTGACCAGTTATTCATCATAGCACCTCGACAAGAACTTATTCAAGCTCTTGGTCACAGCTTTCTTATTGTAAAATGAGGATAATATAGTACCAAGTTCACAGGCTTAAGGTTCCATAGTGCCTGACACAGAGGAAATAGTCAATAAAGCGTAGTTGTGGCTTCTAGGGTTCTTCCCACCCATGCGAGATGAGACACCAGCAGACTGGGGTTCCTTTTTCAGTTGTGACTTGTGAAGCTCAGAGAGACCCTGAGCACGGACGCCTGGTTTGTAGCCACCCATTTGGGAACTTCAGCTACAATTCTTCTTGCCGGGTCAGCTGTGAAAGGGGCTACCTGCCGAGCAGCGCGGAGCCCACGCAGTGCACGTCCTCCGGGGAATGGACTCATCCTCCCCCAGTCTGCAGGGGTAAGTCTCTCCCAGGATGCAAAGGACATTCTCTAGCTCATCTCTCATTGCCCCCATTTTTTATCCAACTGATAACATTTTCAAAGCTCCAGGGAAAGGTCTTTGGTGGTGGTGTTTTTAATAAAACTTGTTCTCTCGGCCAACATAGACATGACCAGTATAGTATCTGCTGGGGTTGAGAAAGGCCTTTATTCTATGTTTCAGATGAGTGTTGCTGAGGCTCTGCTGATTTGTAAGGAAGAGCATACCAGCAGTGAAACTCTGGAAATCTTGAGACTTTCTCGGCTTCTTTACCTGTTTCACTTTTCCAGGCAGTGGGACTAACTTAAGATCATGATAGTCAAGCAGTCTTAATAGCTCTTTTTTTTCCCTCTCAATCTTATCTTTCTGGACCAGAGAGGGGAGAACAAAATCACTCCTTCAAACCTATTGGGCCAAAATAAATGAATGTTTTATGTATGTCAGGATTGTTTTTAATCACAATTAGTCACAAATTCTGAACTAGAATCTATTATTGTCTTCAGTTTTTCCTTAACATAAATGATAAAATAGATCAGAGATCACTCATCATGTAAGTTTTACATTAGTCAAAGTAAAAACTAATCAGGGAAGACAGAAATATCAACAACACAGAGTATATATCATTCTGTAAAATTCATGGTCTCTTCCCAATCCTCAGTGGTCGAGTGTGATGCTTTGACAAAGCCTGACAGTGGGGTCATGGACTGCTTGCCCGGTCTGGACAGCTTGCCTTGGAACACAACCTGTACATTTGGCTGTGAGGAAGGATTTGAACTCATGGGCGCCCGGAGCCTTCAGTGTACCTCATCTGGGACCTGGGACAACGAGAGGCCCACGTGTAAAGGTAGCGTATCTGCACACGAAGGCTCCCTGGGGACTCTCCTTTTCTCAGTTCATACTAGCAATGGGCAAGCCAGCCCTGCTGACGTAAATGGTCCATGTGTTACAGCTGTGACGTGCAGCGCCCTCCACCAGCTTCAGAATGGCTCTGTGAACTGCAGCTCTTCCAGCGCAGGGAAGTTTGCCTTCAAGTCATCCTGCGACTTTACCTGTGACGAAGGCTTCACGCTGCAGGGGCCGGCCCAGATTGAATGCACAGCGCAAGGGCATTGGACGCAGCAAGCCCCCGTTTGTGAAGGTACGCCCACGAGCCCTTCCTTTGCACTTTCTTAAAGAGCAGTGATCTTCAAACGGGCACAGTGCAGATGAAACCAGATGCCCACTTTAAGCATAGAAATCAGATTTCATGAGCAGCGCTTGTCTGACCGTCTTTGAGATTCATTGAAAAGAACCAGTGCTTGACCAGGGCAAGCACTGGAAGAAGAGTGAATGCTTTGCTGGTTTCTTAACTGTACTGTGCTAATATAACTTTATAGCCACTGGCATGGAGTAGGCAGAATTCCTAATGTAAACCATTTCAGCCATGTTAACAAGCAGAATAGTAAGAACATGGCTTGGAACTAAAACATTCATCATACCTTTCTTCCCCCAAAGGTCATAACTAGCAGTGATGAAAATGCTTCAAGTGTGGGGTCGGTTATAGAGATAGTCTTGACATAAGCACTAAAATTTAATTCACTTTCAATCCAGAGCAAGGAGGTTGAAAACAAGTCGATTTTACTATTAGGCACTGGCATTCTCCCTGCCAAAGGTAGCACAGAATGATTTCCTATGGCCAAAAGTTGTCATACCAAACCAAACTGTAAAGCAGACAAATTTTACACAGGGGCCTCTTCTTGTCCTTTCTTTTCTGGCACTATCTGTGAGCATCTGGGATCCATCAGTTGCCATCTGATTGGCAGAATGTTTCTTTTGCATGTTAAGAGAACAGGGCTCAGGAACCAAAGTTCCTGGGAAAGGCTGCCCTTTAATTAGTGCCCTTATCAATGAGGGGATTAGAATCCAGGAAAACCTAGACGTCTTTCCAGTTATTCAGGGAATAATGAAGAATCTTGAGCTCTCCAAGTATTGCTTTGTCCCACATGGACTGAATTGTCAAATGCCCAGTACTCACTCGTTGCACTGATCCTCATTCTGTTATTTCAGCTCTCCAGTGCAGACCCTTGTCTAGCCCAGACAGAGGCTACATGAATTGTCTTCCCCGTGCTTCTGGAAGTTTCCAAAGCGGATCCAGCTGCGAGTTTTCCTGTGGGCAGGGATTTGTGTTGAAAGGATCCAAAAGGCTCCAGTGTGGCCCCACAGGCGAGTGGGACAGTGAGAAACCCACTTGCGAAGGTACAGTCTTTGTTTTTATTTCAATTTATTTTAAAGTAAAAACTATTGAGGATCTTAGAGGCTTGATTGCCTTGAGAAACCTGCTTCTGCCTCGTGCAAACAAACCTCTCAAGTATCCTCTCCTGTCTTCCAGCTGTGAAATGTGAGGCTGTCCACTCACCCCCACGGGGCCGGGTGAGGTATACCCATTCCCCTACTGGTGAATTCACCTACAAGTCCATCTGTGCCTTCAGCTGTGATGAAGGCTTTGAATTACATGGATCAGCTCAACTTGAATGCACCTCTCAGGGACAGTGGACAGAGGAGGTCCCCTCCTGCCAAGGTAGGACTGAGTTCAGACTTTTAGGGAACAGGGCAAAGACTTCTCAAGTTTCTGAACCTAGATTGCTCCAAGGGGCTTGATCCTAAATTTTTACATGGTTAAAATGAAGTAATATTTATAATTTACACGTATGGGGACTGTTAAAGCCTGTTTTAGAAGTGTCCCAGTAGATTTTTCTTAACCTTTGCCCATGTGCCTATCATTTTTAGTGGTTCAATGTTCAAGCCTGGCAGTTCTTGGAAAGGTCAATATGAGCTGCAGTGGGGAGCCTGTGTTTGGCACCGTGTGCAAATTTGCATGTCCTGAAGGGTGGACCCTCAACGGCTCTGCGGCTCTGACGTGTGGCGCCACAGGACACTGGTCTGGGGTGCTGCCTACCTGTGAAGGTGATACATTGATTGATGGAGGTGGCCTGGGGCACTAAAGAGAATAAGGAGAACTATCTTATTACAGCAATTATCTATTCCTCAAGTTCAAACCAGAAAGGTGGCCCAGGGTAACAAGTTATGAATATTGAATTATATGGGGATGGAGAGAGACCAGAGGTGGCATGTCCGTGGAATGGGTAGAAATATGACAGCTGGAAAAAGGAGACCTAGGGAGGAAAGGAGGAGGGGGAAATAGAAAATAATAAGGTGGGGGTGGGTAGAGAGCACACAACCACAACTGATTGCAGTATTAACCAAAGTATGTGCGGTATGGTGAAAGAACTTGGCAAATCAAAGTTCAACCTGGCAGCTGGAGGAGAGAGAGCCTCAGAGGTGGTTTTGGGCAAAACTAAAAAACCTTTAAAGCAACATCTCTGCTCCATGTTTTGAATTGGTGGCTCTTGTGCTCCCAGTAGTCAGTGTACAGAGAAAAGGCCAAATAGTCAGGACAGAAAGACTTTAAGTCAATTCCCTCTCATGACGGTCATTTCCTTCTTGTTTCCTTAGCTTCCCCTGAGTCCAACAATCCCTTGATAATTGGACTTTCTGTTACTGGAGCATCCATCATGACACTGACATCATTTCTCCTCTTGCTTCTGAAATACTTGCGGAAGAAAGGTGAGGGAGTCTAAGAATGCACTCCACCAGGGTTTTCAAAAATATATATTTTCCCCATTGATGAGTCCTGTTCTCTCTTGCACATTTAAGTGGTAACTAGAATCTAGTTATTAAACAGTCAGAAACCACAGTGTAATTAAGCAGAAGTCTTAGAAAAAGAGTCTGTAGGACAGCTAAGTATGGAAAGAGTTTTGGGAAATATAAATGTTAGTTGTGCTAACCCTGAACAACTCCAGGGGGTGTTATTTACATTAAATTTGACGATGTCCCCTGGAAGTTGTGCAATGAGACTGCCATGATTAGTGCTCTTGAGAAAATGAATAAAATGCTACCTTAAGAGATTTATTTGGAATACAGTCTTAAATTTGTGACTATCTCATAAGGGATATGCAAGGCCATCCGGCCATACTCCTGGAATACTTAAACATTTTTGAACTAAGTTCTGACATTTAAAAAATAGGAAATTTTACAGAAAAATTCAGATTCCAGATTTCTCATGAAAACTTGAAAGCTGAATCTGGCAAGATGACCCCATAACTATTAGGTGGTATTAGGAAGCTGGTGGATATACACTTGGATATACACTTGGCATTTTAGCCTTGGTACCACCAAGCAGTGCTTGTGTTCTGGTCATTACAGAGGCCTTGAGGCTTTGTGTTTGCAACCCCTGCTGAATCAAGTCATATTGTATGTGGATTTGATATGTTCTTAAATGTCATTTGGTCTACTACAATCATGGTTTTCTTTTCTCTTGCAGTCAAGAAATTTGTTCCTTCAAGGTAAGTTGCATTCTTGGGCAAAGCATGCCATTGAACAGTCTACATATTTTTCTCTCTCATGCTGGAGAACAGGGCTTTATTTAGTGTTCTCATGTATTCCACAGCAGCTGCCAAAGTCTTGAATCAGATGGAAGCTACCAGACGCCTTCTGACCTCATTTAAGTTCAAGAGAATCAGGTAAGACTTGAAAGTCACATAGGGTTATACGAGAGGTGTCCTCTCTACATGTTCTATTTCTCCTTGAACCCTCCAAACCTGCCAGTGAGGGGAAAGAAGGGCAATCATCACCTTCGTAGTATTTTACAGAAACTCACTTCATGTCTTATAGAAGGAGAAGAATAAAAGATCTGGCTTTCCTGAGTTATTTTATTTATGAAAGCATAATGATAATGATGACGATAGCTACTTCTTATATAGCACTATATCCCAGGAGCTGTTGCAAGCTAGGAACTGCATGAGATGGGGCTGTTATTATATCCCTCATCACAGATGGAGAAAATGAGGCACAGAGAGGTAACCTGTCTGAAATCTCACAGCTAGTAAGTGGTTGAACCAGGGTTCAAACCCAGATAGCCTGGCTCTAGAATGTGTATTCTTAACCATTCTACTCTTCTTTGTGAGAATTAGAACGGGCCACCAAGTGCCTCTGAATAATTTTTTTTTGGATAACATTTTTTGGGGTTCAGTTTTAGGTTTACAGAAAAACTGAGCAGAAAGTACCAAGAGTTCTAACATATTCCCTGAACCACTCCTTCCAGTTACCCCTGTTGTTAAATCTTACCTTAGTGTTACACCTTATGGGAGTAACATTATTGATACATTATTATCAATTAATGTCCACATGATCTCCACAGGTTACAGAGGAATCCCTCTGTGCAGCCAGTGTGTGCGCAGTGGTCTGTACTAGAATGTGCATTTTGTAGTCATTATCACTACACAGAATACTAAGTATTCTGATGACACGCATGCTTATATTTGCAGGAACACAAGTGCATCCAGACCTAGGGTCATACTCTGAAGACAGCAGAGGCAGAGGGCTCTCCCTGGGTCTCCGGCCCTTCTCGCCTACACTACCTACTGCCTTGACAGCTGGGATCAAGGCACCCACCATCAAGGATCCGTTGGGCAAGGCCAGCCTTCCACCAAGAAGACTCGATTTTCTCTTTCTGAATTTCAGTATCAAGAAAGTGCTGGCTACTGAAGGGAAGGCTCGTTTTGTTCCAAACAAGAGGAAGAGACCAAGACTATGGAATCTCAGATTTCCTTTCCTTGATCTCCCTTGCTCACTGTGGGATCTCAGTGGAGAAACAATATTTTCTGGCTTTCTTTTGCCCTGAGAGTGTTTCAAATGCTGTCATGGGGATGAACCATAAGTATCAAGAGAAGGAACAAATGGGCCAAAATTATTCTAACTTGAAAAAATGACAGATTTTTAATGCCCACTGGTGATGGCTTGGAGGCATATGGTTGTGAATGGTGCAAATCCTACTGAATGCTCTGTGTGAGGATTGCTAAACACAGTTTTAATCCCTTTTGTCCCTATGGGATTCAGTGTTTTTTTCAAGGTTTCTTGAAGACGGTGGCCTTATTTGAAACAAATGAAGTGTAATCTTCTACAATTCTTAATCCAGTACCGCGTAGTAGAGACTTAGAGAATGTGTAAATATTGTGAACTATGATAGAAGTTACATATCCTTGATTACCACGTGATTGTTTCTTAACGAATTGTTACATCTGTAGTAAATTTACTGCAAAAAGGGCACCTGTAGTCCCCCAGCATAATGTTAACTAATATAAAGTTATGAGTGTTTTACTATAGTTGTTCTAAAAGCGTGGTATCAGGACAGTAAACTCTGAGTGGAAGATTTGTATATTGTCAGGTATTTTTTCAGAAATGTGAGGTTTCCGTGATGAAAAACTTTCAGGAGACCAAATTTTCTGATGTGATAGAAGCTCCAAATACAAACAAACAAAGGTACAATTTTAATGAATGTCTTTGTTGAGGAACAAAAAATGTGGAAATGTGGCCGGGCTGTGCTTTGCTACTCAGATGGCTGTCAGAAGTGGTGTGTAAACTTTTGTATAGTATGTGCAGTTTTAAACCCGTAACAGGAACTCACCACGTGAGAGATCCATCTAGTAGATTTTTAAAAAGCAAACACGTCAGATCATTATTCTCTGTGTGTTTTATTCTGTGTGTTGGTGTGTTCTGAAAGAGAGGAACGTCTGTGTGAGCAGGTATTTATGTTTATTTATAAGCAGATTTTAAAATTCCTAAGGAATCTTCAGCTAGCATTTGATCACTGGCAGCGAGAAATTCTTGGTCAGTCCTTGCCAAAGATGCGCCGGCCTCAGAGTGTGAGAATCGAAATTCTCCCACACCTCCCTCATCTCAGTATGTATTGAAAGAGGAGTTTCAGAGAAGGGCTGCACAGTGAGCGTGGCCTACAGTCCATGTGGGCTGTGACAAGGATCAGAACAGGGTGGGGGTTTTTGTGGGACGGAAAGACCTTTGGGAAAAAAAGAGACAGAGAGAAAGCAAGAACAACTGTTGTGATCAGGCTACGTAGGAAACGAACTATTATTTTCTTTGAGATTATCTGAATATAAATATATATACTGCATTAGAAATAGCTGTGTGAAATATAAATGTGATCTGTGTTTGAGTTTTATAAGGTGTTTTAAATTGTGATTTAAAATATTTTACAGTTTTTTTAAACTATGTATTTATTTAAGCTTATCTCAAATCTATTGTATTTGATACCACACCATGAAGCTGGACAATAAACATGTTTATATTTATCTCTTTGTATAGAGTCGTTCTTAAAAAATTAATTTAGCTGAAACTCACATATCATAAAAGTCACCCTTTTATTTTTTAATTAATTAATTAAATTTGAGACAGAGTCTCATTCTATCCCCCTGGATAGAGTGCTGTGGTGTCATTGTTGCTCACAGCAACCTCAATCAAGCCGTCCTCTTGCCTCAGCCTCCTGGGTAGCTGGGACTACAGGTGCCCACCACCACGCCCAGCTAGTTTTTCTATTTTTAATAGAGATGGGGTCTCACTCTTGCTCAGGCTGGTCTTGAACATCTAAGCTCAAGTGATCACATGCCTCAGCTTCCCAGAATGCTAGGATTATAGACGTGAGCCACTGTTCCTGGCCAAAATTCACCCTTTTAACATATACAAGACTTTACACCTATTGCCAATGTCTAGGTCCAAAAAATCTCCATCACCCCCCAAAGAAACCCTGTGCAATTAGCACTTATTCCCCGGTTTTCCTCCCCCATATCCCCTGGAAGCCACTAATTTACTTTCTTTCTCTATGGATTTGCCTAGTCTGGAAATTTTGTATCAACAAAATCATACAGAATGTGCTTCTTTCACTTGCCATGTTTTCTTTCTTTTTTTTTTTTTTTGAGACATAATCTCACTTTGTGGCCCTCTGTAGAGTGCTATGGCATCATAGCTCAAAGTCTTAGGCACAAGCAATCTTCTTGCTTTAGCCTCCCAAGTACCTAGGACTATAGGTGTTTGCCATAATGCCTGACTTTTTTTTTTTTTTTTAAGAGACAGGGGTCTCTTGCTGAGGCTGTTCTCAAACTCTGGAGCTCAAGCAATCCACCTGCCTGCCGTGGCCTCCCAGAAGGCTAGGATTACAGGCATGAGTCCCTGCGCCTGGCCTCACTTGCCAAGTTCTTAGGGTCCACCCATATTGTATCTTGTATAAGTGTTTCACTCCTTTTTATGGCTGAGTAATATTCTATTGTATAGATGGGCTACATTTTGCTTGCCCATTCCTCAATTGATGGACTTGGGGTTGTTTCTGCTTATTGGCTATGGTCAATAATATTGTTATGAATATTCATGTTCAAGTTCAATTCATGCTTTCAATTCTCTTCCATACCTAGCAAGAGAATTGTTGGGTCGTGTGATAACTTTATGTTTATTTTTGAAGAACCACCAAAATATTTTCCAAAGAGGTGGTACCATTTCACAATCCCATCAGCAGTGCACAAGGGTTCTAATTTCTCCACATCCTGGCCAATATTTGTTATAGTCTGTCTTTTTTTTATTATTGTCATCCTAATGCCTCTGAAGTGGTAGACATTCATAAGGGCTCTTACACTCATACTGTAAAGATTTAAAGAAAATACTAAAATATAAAAGAAATTGTTTTCAATTCCAAGTTGCTCAGATTAACTGATAGACCTTCATTAACATTCCAGACTCAGTTATTCAACAAGATTTGAGACAGAGTTCTTTTCTTTTTTTTCCCTACCCCAAATATGTGCCTTCTGTCTTCTGGAGTAGTGTTAATCCATAGGCTTGCTATGTACCAGGCCAAAAACCAACTGATGAATCTCATTGCTATTAGAGAATCAACAAAGAAAGAAAAAGGAGGAGCAGGGGAAAAAAAAGAACACTCACCTATAGTTTATGGCCAAAAAGGAATTTGTTTATTCATCTACCGTTTGTTTGGCTGACATTTATTGAGTGCTAGATGTTATGTTTCCGGATGTGTGGTGTGAAAAACCCTACAACTATAATATTTAAAATTGCTTGCTTTAAGTAAAGAGCTGAACTTAAGAAAAAGAAAGAAAGTCTCATACAAAGAATTGCTTAGGGCCCAGAGACCCAGGCCATGGAAGACTTCGTAAGGACTTTAGATTTTACTCTGAGTGAGACAGAAACCACTGGAGGCTTTTGAGCAGAAGAGTGACATGATCTGGCTGTGTGCTTTTGAGCTTGTTGTCTTCTCCCCCTCTCCCTCCAGGGCCTGCCTCACCCACCGCTTGTCCTTAGCCTTCTCTGCTCTGTGTCCCAGGAGGCTGACTCCTGTGGACTGATTGTCCAGTGATGGGTGGGCTGGCCTCCAGTTGTTTTGACTAAGAGGCACATGAAGGAAACAGACAGTGAGGGGAGAGAGAGGGCAGGATATTTTTTTATTCACTCTCCGCTTGCTTCAGTGCTCTGCGTCTGGAAGGAGCTGTACACTTCCTGCTTTTCATTAAGGGAAACAGGTCTCACCAAGTTTCAATAACACAATTTCCTCCCCTTGACTCTTTAGCTCCAGGGATAGCAATAGCGTCTAGCCGCTGGTCTCTGGATGCCTCACTTTCTTCTTGGTTGTTCTCCTACCCTTGCCCAGCAAGTGGTCCCTCCATTTAAGGCTCTTCAGTCGGTGAAGAATTTACCCATCTAGGATGAATTCTGTCTCTGGCTGAGCCTCTGAATGAAATACAGTTTAATGGAATCTTCCTTAAGTTGAAGAAAAGTATAGAAGCCTGAAGTCCAGATAGGAGGGTTTTGTAATAATACAGATGAGAGATGATGGTGGTTTGGACAGTTAGTAAAGTAGAAATGACTGAATGCTAAAAATTTTTAAAGTAAAGCCAAAAAACTTTCCTAAAATATTAGGCACGAATTGTGAGAAAAAGAGAGAAGTCTCAGATAACTCCAAATGTTTTGGTAAGTAACTGGAAGGATGGAGTTATAATTTACTGAGATGGGAAGGGATATGGAAAGAGCCCTCCAGGATTGGAGGAGAGATTCAGAAGTTCAGTGTGGGATATGCAAAATGTAAGAGGCTTATTAAACAACTAACTAGAGATAAAAAGTAGGCATTTGGCTGCAGGAGAATGGTGCTGGCTATAAATATAGATTTGCACATCATTGGCCTTTAGATGGGCAAAGTTACGAGAGTAGACTGGATCCCCAAGTCAGTGAGGGCAGACAAAGAACAGAAAAGCAGTGATGCCTGGAGCACTCCAAAGGTTTGGAGGTTGGGGAGATAAGAGAAACTTAGCACATGAAACAGAGAAGGAATAGCCAGTGAAGCAGGAGGAAAACCAGGGGCTGGCTGGTGAAATAAAATGAGGATAAAGAACAGGTTTGGTGGGTAAGCGAAGTGTAGGACCTTGATGAGAGCCGTCTCAGGGAGCTGGTGTGGTGGAAAGGCTGATTGGACAAGGTTCAGGAGACAATGCGAGAAAA